CTTCCAGAATTGCTAACACCGCCTCCTTATGAACCTCAATCCCGTCTAGTCTAATAGACTGTATCTCAGTATTCTCCTCGACAACATTGTCTTTTTCCTGTGTGAATAGTGACGAAAAATATTCATTTAGCACCTCTCCTATCTCTTCGGACTCCACACACAACTTCCCACTACTGTCCTTGACCGGCCCCAATCTTACTCTAGTCATTCTTTTATTCCTGACTTACCTATAGAAAGCTTTAGGGTTTTCCTTGATCCTACCTGCTAAAGACTTCTCATGTCCCCTCCTGGCTCTTCTTAGCTCTCTCTTTAGGTCCTTCCTGGCTAACTTGTAACTCTCAAGCGCCCTAACTGAGCCTTCACGCCTCATCTCTCCGTAAGCCTCCTTCTTCCTCTTGACAAGAGATTCAACTTCTTTAGTAAACCACGGTTCCCTCGCTCGACCACTTCCTCCCTGCCTGACAGGTACATACTTCTCAAGGACACGCAGTAGGTGTTCCTTGAACAAGCTCCACATTTCAATTGTGCCCAGCCCCTGCAGTTTCCTTCTCCATCCTATGCATCCGAAATCTTGCCTCATCGCCTCATAATTGCCTTTCCCCCAGCTATAACTCTTGCCCTGCGGTATATACCGATCCCTTTCCATCGCTAAAGTAAACGTAACCGAATTGTGGTCACTATCACCAAAGTGCTCACCTACCTCCAAATCTAACACCTGGCCTGGTGTGACGGCGGAAGAGCGGGAGATGGGTCAGACCTGGTTGAGGGCCCTGTCGACAACAGAGCTGGGGAATCCTCGGTTGATGAGGAAGGTGGATATTTCAGAGGCTCCCTTGTCGAAGTTGGCCTCATCTGAACATATACGATGGAGATGGAGGAACTGACAGAATGGGATGGAGTCTTTACAGGAAGTGAGGTGTGAAGATGTATAGTCCAGGTAGCTGTGGGAGTCAGTGGGTTTGTAATGGATATTAGTGGCCAATCTATCCCCAGAAATGGAAACAGAAATGTCGAGGAAGGGAAGGGAAGAGTCAGAGATAGACCAGGTGAAAGTGAGGGCAGGGTGGAAATTGGAGGCAAAATTGATAAAGTTTTCCATTTCCAGACGAGAGAGGGAAGCAGCATCGATGATATCATCGATGTATCGGAGAAAGAGTTGTGGGTGGGGGCCGGAAAACGACCGGAACAAGAAATGTTCCACGTACCTCACGAAGAGACGACATAACTGGGGCCCATGCGGGTGCCCATGGCAACCCTTCTTACCTGAAGAAAATGAGAGGAGTTGAAAGAGAAGTTGTCGAGGATGAGGACAAGCTCAACCAAGTGGAGGAGGGTGGTGGTGGGTGGAGATGGTTCAGGTCTTTGCTCCAGGAAGAAGCGGAGAGCCCTAAGACCCTCCTGGTGGGGAATGGATGTGTAAAGGGATTGCACATCCATGGTAAAGAGGAGGTGGCTGGAGCCGGTAAACTGGAAGCTTTGAAACCGGCGTCAGGCGTCAGATGAATCATGGATGTATGTGGGTAGGGATTGGACCAGCGGGGAGAAGACTGAGTCAAGGTAGGGTCAAGGTCATTGAACCTGTGTGGTTTGTTCTGCAGATTGCTGGGAGTGGACAAGCTCATCTCCTATGCACTGAACGAGTGGCTGACTGACATCAGGAAAAATCAGCTGCCTGGTATTCTCGGCGGTGTGGGACCCATGCATTCCTTGGTGCAATTAGGTGAGTGTTGGCAATACAAATGATGCTGAACTGCTCATAATGTAGGACAGGGAATCATGGTTCCTTATCCCAGGGAGCTGACTATCTCCTGAGGTGGTCAATGTTGTCTGTTTTTAATTTACACCCCATGACGCTGAGGCAAGCCCTAACATTAGAGTAATAAATAGATTCAAACTCCAAACTAATCCCACAATATCAGTAGCCTAAGTGTTACTATTCACCAGAAATTGTACAGGAATAACCATATCAGTACTGTGGGCTATGAGAGCAGGTCAGAGGCTGGGAATTCTGTGGCAGGTAATCACCTCATGTCCACCATCTACAACGCACAAGGCAGGAGTGTGGTGGAATACTCACCACCAGTGTTTCCTCTCATTTTCTTAACAGCTGTGCAAGCTTCTGAGGAGCATACAGGTTGTATGCATTGCTCTCCCCTCGACAAGATGGGTGCAGCTCCAATAGCACTTGTGAGGCATGACAAAGGAGAGGCGATGGCCTAGTGGTATTATCGCTGGACTGTTAACCCAGAGACCCAGATAATGTTCTGGGGACCTGGGTTCGAATCCAGCCACGGCAGATGGTGGAATTTGAATTCAATAAAATATCTGGAATTAAGAATCTAATGATGACCATGAATCCATAATCGATTGTTGGAAAAACCCACCTGGTTCACTAATGTCTTTTAGGGAAGGGAACTGCCATCCTTACCTGGTCTGGCCTACATGTGACTCCAGACCCAGAGCAATGTGGTTGACTCTTAACTGCTGCCCTCTGGTCAATTCAAGATGGGCAGTAAATGCTGCCTAGCCAGTGATGCTGTCATCCTGTCAATGAATAAAGAAAAAAAAAGTCATCTAGAGCAAGCTGCTACGTTAACACACACCATTGCATTCTTTGGGCCAAGAAAACAGGGAAATGGTATTCAGTTAGAGAAGATGACCCATCACATGAAGCAATATAAATTTGCAAGGCAATTACATAATCTCCATTACTTTTTATGATCTGTTCGAAGCTGTACGATTGACAGCTAATCATACAGTGAGGCGATAGCCTGGTGGTGTTATCACTGGACTGTTAAACCAGAAACCCAGGTATTGTTCTGGGGACCTGGGTTCGAATCTCGCCATGGGAGATGATGGATTTGAATTAATTAAAAAATAACAATCTTGCATTAAGAATCTAATGATGACCATGAATCCATTGTTGATTGTCAGGAAAAACCCATCTGGTTCATTAATGCCCTTTTAAGGAAGGAAACTGCCATCCTTACCTGGTCTGGTCTACATGTGACTCCAGACCCACAGCAATGTGGTTGACTCTTAACTACCATATGGGATGGGCAATAAATGCTGGTCTAGCCAGTGATGTTATTATCCCATGAATGAATTTTTAAAAAATACAATGGATGGAGAGGGAATTTGGATTAATATTTTATGTCTGTGGAGCAGGAAGGAAATTTTAAACTCTGCAGTAAATGGGAAATGGTTACAGAATATTCAACCAGGTGACGTTTCCTTTTTTTGCTTAGTTCAGGGACTGAAGGACCTGGTCTGGCTGCCCATAGAGCAGTATCGTCGGGATGGACGCATCGTGAGAGGCCTCCAACGAGGAGCAGCCTCATTCGGAACCTCCACTGCTATGGCTGCCTTAGAGCTGACAAATCGCCTCGTACAGACCATACAGGTAATGTGGATTTCTTCCAACAGGAGAGTGTCTGTGGAAGTGGCCATCATTTGTCATCAGTCTGTCCAGTTTGCACTGGTATTCTATCTTGTGGATCATCTACTTGGTGAAGGAGTGAATTGTGTAATTTTTCTTCCTTCCTTCATTCATTCTTCAACAAGGGCATCACTGACAAAAATGGAGATTATTACACATTCGCAGCTGCCTTAAAATGAGTGTCTTGCTAGACACAGATCAGAGAGCAACTAGTGTCAGTTTGGAGTAATACATAGGCCAGATTGATTAAACAGGGTAGTTTGAAATAAAACACAGAATGCTGGAACATCTCAGCAAGTTGGACAGCATCTGTGGAGGGAGAAATGGAATTGACGTTTTGAGTCCTCTGACTTTTCTTCAGTACTGAAGGGGCATTAAAGTGATGTTTTTTATGTTATTCACCAAGGGCAAGGAGGAGCAAGTGGAACAGATTGTGAATGAGCCCAGAGCAAAAGGTGTAGGGCTAATGGTGGTAAATGAGCGATTGAGATGTAAGCTGTGTTAATGAGAGGTGTGACTAAGAGAAAATAGGCCAGCCCAGCCAACAGCAAAACAAGACATGAGTGTTGGGGGTGGATTAATCAAAATGGAGGACAGTGTTCATGGCCTGAAATTGGTGAACTTGATGTTGAATCCTGAAGGCTGTAAAATGCCTAAGCAGAAAATTAGGTGGTGTTCTTCCAGATTGCAGCCGAGATTTCCTCCTTTATAAAGGAACTGGTTGAGTTATTATAACAGTCTGACAACTTTATAGTCACTTTGACTTCAGCTTTTCATTTCCTCAAATTTTTGTACTGAATTAAAACTTTTATGAATTTTAAGCCAGGTTTTCAGTATTGCTACTGTAGGCCCCTGTACTATCAGTGGAATCCTTTATTGATTTTATATTTATTCAAATGTCCAGTTATTAAATGGGTATTTTTTAAATATTTTACACCCGTTGTCAACAATGTTGTCGAGGAGAATACTGAGATACAGGCTATTAGACAAGACGGGATTGAGGTTCATAAGGAGGCGGTGTTAGCAATTCTGGAAGGTGTGAAAATAGATAGGTCCCCTGGGCCGGATGGGATTTATCCTAGGATTCTCTGGGAAGCTAGAGAGGAGATTGCAGAGCCTTTGGCTTTGATCTTTATGTCGTCATTGTCTTCAGCAATAGTGCCAGAAGACTGGAGACTAGCAAATGTTGTCCCCTTGTTCAAGAAGGGGAGTAGAGACAACCCTGGTAATTATAGACCAGTGAGCCTTACTTCGGTTGTGGGTAAAGTGTTGGAAAGGATTATAAGAGATAGGATTTATAATCATCTAGAAAGGAATAATTTGATTAGGGATAGTCAACACGGTTTTGTGAAGGGTAGATCGTGCCTCACAAACCTTATTGAGTTCTTTGAGAAGGTGACCAAACAGGTGGATGAGGGTAAAGCGGTTGATGTGGTGTATATGGATTTCAGTAAAGCGTTTGGTAAGGTTCCCCACAGTAGACTGTTGCAGAAAATACGAAGGCATGGGATTGAGGGTGACTTAGCAGTTTGGATCAGAAATTGGCTAGCTGTAAGAAGACAGAGGGTGGTGGTTGATGGGAAATGTTCATCCTGGAGTTCAGTTACTAGTGGTGTACCTCAAGGATCTGTTTTGGGGCCACTGCTTTGTCATTTTTATAAATGACCTGGATGAGGGCGTAGAAGGATGGGTTAGTAAATTTGCGGATGACACCAAAGTCGGTGGAGTTGTGGATAGTGCGGAAGGATGTTGCAGGTTACAGAGGGACATAGATAAGCTGCAGAGCTGGGCTGAGAGGTGGCAAATGGAGTTTAATGCGGAAAAGTGTGAGGTGATTCACTTTGGAAGGAGTAACAGGAATACAGAGTACTGGGCTAATGGTAAGATTCTTGGTAGTGTGGATGAGCAGAGAGATCTCGGTGTCCATGTGCATAGATCCCTGAAAGTTGCCACCCAGGTTGATAGCGTTGTTAAGAAGGCGTATGGTGTGTTAGATTTTATTGGTAGAGGGATTGAGTTTCGGAGCCATGAGGTCATGTTGCAGCCGTACAAAACTCTGGTGCGGCCGCACTTGGAGTATTGCGTACAGTTCCGGTCACCGCATTATAGGAAGGACGTGGAAGCATTGGAAAGGGTGCAGAGGAGATTTACCAGGATGTTGCCTGGTATGGAGGGAAGGTCTTATGAGGAAAGGCTGAGGGACTTGAGGCTGTTTTCGTTAGAGAGAAGAAGGTTAAGAGGTGACTTAATAGAGACATACAAGATGATCAGAGGATTAGATAGGATGGACAGTGGGAGCCTTTTTCCTCGTATGGTGATGGCTAGCACGAGGGGACATAGCTTTAAATTGAGGGGTGATAGATATAGGACAGATGTCAGAGGTAGGTTCTTTACTCAGAGAGTAGTAAGGGCGTGGAATGCCCTGCCTGCAAAAATAGTAGACTCGCCAGCTTTAAGGGCATTTAAATGGTCATTGGATAAACATATGGATGATAATGGATTAGTTTAGGTTAGATGGGCTTCAAATTGGTTTCACAGGTCGGCGCAACATCGAGGGCCGAAGGGCCTGTACTGTTCTATGTTCTATGTATTGAGTAAAGCCAGTAGAGTAAGAGATTCTGTCTCTGATGGCACTTCTTTCCACAGAAGTGAGACATTTTGATTTGTTTAACACTGGACCTTGCTTGTCAGTTCTCAAAGCGTCCTTGTTTAGCTTGAGGTTCATAATTATCTTGCATAATTTTAGACAGTTAATTAAGCATGACAATTTAGTTATTGTAGCGTACAGAATTACAGACTTGATAACACGTTCATAATACTGACTCATGCGATGAGGGAGTTTATGAGGAGTGTTTGGACCAGTTGAGCCTTTATTTACTGAATAGGAGATGGATTTTAATGAAACATTGAAGATCCTGAAGGGATTTTGACAGGGCGGATGGTAAAAGGATATTTCCCATTGTGGGAGAGACTAGAACTAGGGACAATAATTTAAACATATGGGGCATTTAAATTGGACATGAAGAAATTGTTTCCCTGAGGGTTGAGAGTCTGTGGAACTCTTTTATTCATTCACAGGATGTGGGCATCACTGGCTAGCCCAGCATTTATTGCCCATCCCTAATTGCCCAGAGGGCAGTTAAGTGTCAACCACATTACTATGGGTCTGGAGTCACATGTAGGCCAGACCAGAATGGAAGTTTCCTTCTCTAAAGGATATTAGTGAACCAGATGGGTTTTTCCCCCAACAATCAACAATCAGATGGGACTGGCCTAATGCTTTAGCCACCAGTTTCTGTGAAATACAAACTGAGAGCAGACAAAGTGCCAGACCAGTGAGGTTTTGTTTTTCAGTATGACATCATTCTTGTAGTGCTGCGAATTTCCCTCCATGAGCTTTGAAATCAATCACATGCCAACACCTACACATGGCCTTATTAAAATAACTCTGTTGTCATTTGTAACAGCAAAGCACCTTTATAATATGTCTGAAAACTAACTACACCTGCTGTTATCTCAAAACATTCACATTAAAACTATGTACAAACTGGGCAAACAGCCCTGCATCTGGAAACTGATGTGCAGAACCTCCCAATTATGAACAATCAATGACCCAGAGCATTCACATTACAACACCCCGAAGTAAACAAAAACTTCTGCCTGTCCTTTGCTGTCTCAGAAACAAGTTTTCAGTATCTAATCCTTGCTGACATTTACCTTGTTTGGTATTTTATACTACCTGATGGCCATTGAACATAGAACAACGGAGGCTTCTGGTTAATATCCTGGTAAATAATCAGCTATGTTACCAGTGATTTTATCTTTCACTGTCTTTGTGATCTTTGCTCTTCATGAACGTTAGCTTCATTTTTTCCTGAAGTATCATGATTGTGAATGTTCTGCAGTGAGTAACTCACCTGATTACCCACAGCTTGCCAATAGCCCACAAGGCATAAGTCAGGAGTGGAATGGAATACTCCCCATTTGCCTGGATGAGTGTAACTCCAATACCACTCAATGCGATTGACATAATCCAGGACAAACCAGCCCACTTGATTGGCACAAACATCCACTCCCTCCACCAAACCCGTGACCACTTCCATCTAAAAGGCCAAGGGCAGCAGATACATTGATCACTACCATCTGCAAATCCCTCTCCAAGCCACTCACTGTCCTGACTTGGAAATATTTCATCGTTCCTTCAGTGTTATTGAGTCAAAATCCTGGAATTCCCTCCCTAAAGGCATTGTGAGTCAACCTACAGCACTTGGACTGCGGCAGTTCAAGAAGAGAGCTCACCACCAGCTTCTTGAGGGCATCCAGGGATGGGTTCAGGCACAGCCAGTGACATGCACAACCTATGAATTAATGAAAAAATTACTTTAACTACAGTACTCAAATTATTTTAAAAGCCTAATCTTTACACGTGTCCTCCAATATTATCCTTCAGATGAGCATCCATGCAAATACTTGTGCCATCACTAAGACAAACTCTTTCCATTTCTGTAACATTGTTTTACTTGGCCCCTGCATTAGCTCATCTGTTGCTGAAACCCTCAGCCATGCCATTGTCACCTCCAGACATGACCATTCCAACACACTCCTGGTTGTTTTCCCACATGCTGCTGTTCTTAAATTCAAGCTCATCAAAGATTCTGCTGCCTGTGTCAAGTTTCTCTCAAATTCTACAGACCCAGTATCCCTGTGCTCCCTGATCGGCATCAGTTTCAGCTTAAGCAAACTCTCAATTTGCAACCTTGTTTTTAAGTCTCTCCAACCTGCTACCCCTTTAATCTTCTCCAGTCCTACGATATTCTGATATTGCCGTCCATGATTTTTGGCCTGTTAAGTATTCCCAGTTATATTTAATGTGTTATTGTTGGCCATGCCTTCAACATCTTGGGCCTAAGCTCAGGAATTCTCTCCCTCAACCCCTCTCCCTCACTACTTGTCTCTCCCCTAATGGACACTTCTTAAAAATCTTTCTTTAACCAACCTTTACGTAATGGATGACTTAAGAACATTCTTTGTCCCCACCTCTGGGTTGAGTGACCTGGGTTCAAGTCCTACTTGCTCTCCCTGGCCATGCAATGCTATCTCTTAACAGGTTGACGAAAGAAACGAATACTTTCTAACAAATGCTTTATAGTGCTCTGTGAAGTATCTTGATGAGTTTTATTCCATTAAAATCGCTGTAGTTTTAGAAATAGAAGAGGCCCTTCAGCTCATCAAGTCTATACCACCAAATATATTCTGTACACAAGTCCTACTTTCCCATACTAGGCCTTGAATGTTACGACACTTCAAATACTCATCCAAGTACTTTTTAAAGGTTGTAAGGTTCCTCTCCTCAACTATCCTCCCAGACAGTGCATTCCAAATTCCCACCACCCTCTGGGTGAAAAAGTTTTTCCCCAAACCCTGTCAAAACCTCCTGCCTTTCACTTTAAAACTATGCCCCCTTGTTACTGACCTTTCAACTGAGGGAAACGGCTACTTTTTATTCACCCTGTCCATGCCCCTCAACTTTATACACCTCTGTCAGGTTCCCCCTCAATCTTCTGTGCACCAATTAAAACAACTCAAGCCTATCCAGCCTCTCTTCATCGCTGAAAAGCTCCATCCCCGGCAGCATCCTGGTGAATCTTCCCTGTGGCCCCTCCACTGCAATCACGTCCTTCCTATAGTGTCATGACAACAACTGCACACAGTAGTCCAGCTATGGCCTAACTAAAGTTCAGTACAGTTCCAAAATGACCTCCCTATTCTTATAATCCATGCATGATAAAAGTCAGTGTCCAAATATGCCTCCTTTTCTACCCTGTTAACTTGTCCTTCCACCTGAAGGGATCTGTGGACAAACACTCATTCTTCTTCTGAGCTTCCTAGAGTATTGCAATCCATTGAGTACTCTCTTGTCTTATTCCTTCTTCCAAAGTGCATCATCTCACATTTGTCAGGGTTTAATTATCTTGCACTGATTTGCCCATCTGACCGAACCATTTATATCCTACTGTAACCTAACACCTTCCTCACTGTCAACCACCTGGCCAATCTTTGTGTCATTCGCAAACTTGCTAGTCTAGTCCCATCGTGGAAGTCTCATCTCAGCCTTGTGTAGCAGTTCTTGCCCGATTTTCTAACGTATCCTGAACCCAGGAGCCATTAATTGATGAGCTTTTACTTTTTCTTCTTATTTATGATTTCTATCATTAATTTAGGCACGATGGTATGGCAAGTTATAAAACTTTTCACTGTATTTTCTTTTTGAAAAGAGGTGACAATAAATTGCTACTGTGTTCTATGATCATCCCCACCACATTCTCATTAATATCCTTTATGAATATGGCAAACAATAACGGACCTAGCAGTGATCCTTGTGGTACACCACTGCGCACCGGGCTCCGGGCCTTGAATGGAGGTGAGGGGGGAGGTATCGGGGAGGTGTAGCACTTCCTGCAGTTGCAGGAAAAGGTGCTGGGGGTGGAGGGGTTAGTGAGAGTGTGGAGCGGATGAGGGAGTCACAGAGAGAGCGGTCCCTACGAAAGGCAGATGGTTGGGGGGTGGAGGGAAATATCTCTTTGGTTGTGGGGTTGGATTGTAGGTGGTGGAAAGTGGTGGAAGATGGTATGTTGGATATGGAGGTTAGTGGGGTGATAGGTGAGGACCAGGGGGATTCTGTCTTTATTTTTATTGGGGGGAGGGGACATCAGGGCAGAGGTGCAGGAAATGCAAGAGATGTGGTTGAGGGCATTTTCGATCACCGGAGGGGTGGTGTTACAGTATTTTTGATCACCGGAGGGGGGATGTTACGGTCATTTTTGATCACAGAGGGGAGTTTTTGCTATCTGAGATGATTGAAACTGGTGTTTTTTAAAACTTTCGCAGGCAGCAGCAGAGACAGCCTATGACATGGTTTCCCCAGGCCCAACTACACACAGTTTGATGCGGACCAAACATATCTCTCAACACCGATTGGCCCATCAACCTGTCGATCTGCGGGAAGGAGTCGCTAAGGCATATGACGTAGTGAAAGAGGTGAATGATGGTGTTTTCTGGATTATTCAGTAATCTGCATAAAGTCTCTAAAAGATCTCATGGTATCACCCAGAGCAATAGCTGCACACATTGTAATAAAATGGATAATATTATAGTCAGAAAATCCCTTTCTTTTTACTTCAGTGCCATATCTCAAAAGTGTGTTAGGCTGAACTGCCCTGTCAGAGAACAATCACTAGCTCAACACATCCCTCAATCCCACTGACACATCAACTCACCACAACCCTCAATCCCACTGATGCACCGATTCACCACATCCCTCAATTCCTCCCTCTGACATCCCTCCCGTCCACCCACCTTCTCTCCATGTCCCTATCAATATTTCCTCAATCCCTCTCACCCATATACCTCAATCTCACTGACCTATCTTCTTCACATTTCTTGTTTTATACATTTGCAGGATGTGGGTATGGTTATGAGCATTTATTGCCCATCCCTAACTGCTCTCTGGGCAATTAAGAGCCAACCACAGAGCTGTGGTCTGAAGTCACATGTAGGCCAGACCAGGTAAGGATGGCAGATTACCTTCCCTAATTAGTGAGCCAGATGGTTTTATTTTGTGAACAACAGTCAACAGCAGTATATGGCTGCTATTAAGTTTGCTTCTTGTTGAATCCAAGTTCTGTAATGGTAGGATTTGAACCCATGTCCCCATAACATTAGCCTGGAGTTTACGCTGTCAATCCCATGAAGGTCTCTGGTTAGACAGGGTCAATACCATGGAATATTTCAGCAAGAACCATCTCTTGGTTTGATGTGATTTTGTGTTTTATGTGCAGGGGTTCACGGACACAGCTCACCTGATCTACGAGACTGCGGCGCGGGAGCATGAGCAGAGGGGTATGACTGGGGCAGTAGGAGGTGTCTTGCGGCAAATCCCACCAGCAGTGGTGAAGCCACTAATCGTTGCAACGGAAGCCACCTCCAATGTCCTAGGTGGGATGCGAAACCAGATTCAGCCAGATGCCCGTCAGGAAGAGTCCCAGAAGTGGCGTCTTGGCGACCAGTAATTGTCAAAGCAAATATCAGCTTCCCGGGAAAGGACAGAAATCTTCATGAAGCTTTGAACTCCTGATGCTGGGAACCAACCGGGATTCACTGCGCAATACACTTTCCTGCCTGTATATTTTGGTCTCATTATTTCGTGAGTTAAAAATACTATAGACAGTATCCATCAGGTGAGCTGCAGCTTTAAATAATTTGACTGACCTGATGCTGCGTAGAATATTCCCCGATTTATTTTAGAGATGGCATGAAGATATATTTTTGAAAAACAGAAGCTTGAATAGTGTGACTGCCTCAGCGAGGATTCTGCTGCTCATCTCAGTTTGGCAAGGTCATGGGATCGAAACCATTGTTGTTTGGATACACTGCAGATTGTAAACCCACCAGCTGAGAGTAATCTTGTAGCTTTCTAGTTCCATCGTCTCCGAACCAAGGGCGCTAATCATTCTCTCATCCTGACTGAGATAACTTGTAATTGACAAGCCCACCTAACCCCCTGAAACCCTGAACTTACTACAAAAGCCAGCAACTTTCCATGGTACCAAGCCCATTGTCAAGCCCTTAATGACTAAACATAGTCTACATTCTCTCGATATGCATTGCTTAATCAGCTTTTGGACACACTTGACAATTTCTTGCACACTTGACAATTTCTTGCAGAGACCTTTGCCTCAAGTAACTTAGGTTAATTCAAAGGGGTGTAGTACATTCCTGGTTTTTATTTCCTTTCAAGTGGGTCAGCCTAATATTCTGTGCCCCAGTTGTGCAGTGACAGGACAGCTCCAGCGCATTGAAAGGATAAGTATCAGAAGCCACTTGGCTTGTGCAGCTGTGCTATCAATAGAAGCTTGGCTCCAGGTTACCTGAACATCCTCTTGCATGAGAAATAGTTTCAGCTTTTGAGAACATTGTAAAAGGATATGTTTAATTTGGAGGTGGAAGGGGTTGGCGAGGAGGGACATATGACTGTCCAATACCTATTCAGTGCAAAACATGCTGGTTCTTTTGCTGCAATATTGCATCCCCAATATTCTGCAAGAATTATCTTCAGTCAGCTGTGGAAATGTTTCTTCCCCCAGACTATCGAAGAAAACAGACACTGTGCCATTTTGATTTATTGTATCCCAAGGCTTCATTCATAACTGACTATGCAACCAATTAAATCCAATAATTCTGGAAATGTATTTAAAAGTTTATTCCCCCCTCCACTAGAACAAATCTGAGCAAATTCCTGCAATATAAGCAGCTGAAAGTGAACTTGGCAGAGTTTTGGGGAGGGGTTTGACTTTCCTGTAAGAACTGGTGTAAATGATGCTGGTATTTCAGGGCGTTGACAAGATAAAACCTAATTTCAAATTCTTCTAATTTCAATGTAAAACCACATTGCATTAATAACCCACAGATGTCAGCAAGCTACGGGTATGTTGCTCCCACCCTTAGCTATTTACATTTGGATGAACTTCATTGAATGGAGACAATATAGCAGCCTAGTTATGAATGGGCTACCGCCAGGATACTCTGATGGATATTCCTTCACAACTACAGTGCAGAGACCACTTCCTGTTTTTCAACCTTACCATTTTGAGTGGGAGAGAGGAAGATTTTTTTCTATAATTATTTGATTTTTTTTGTCGGTGCTATCACTTTTCTTCAGCCAATGTTGAATTGAAAAGGAACAGTACATAAAATAGCACGTGGTCTGCAAAGCTTGCTACGTAGACCTGCACCTCCAACCTCAGAGGGGCCCTGGCTAAATTATTATTGTATTCAATGTACTCAGTCTCCCTCGCTCTTTATACCTGCTGTAAAAAATGAGGGCTGGTGTTTGAAAGAATAGATGCAACAATCTTACTGCCTATACTTGTGATCTTGAGTATTGTTTTTAAAAATTATTGGGCAAAAGCATAATATAGAAAGGAATATACAGACATCACAGGATAGGATTGTAAACCACCTCCTCATTCCCTGCTACAGAGAGAATTTTAAAAATATAGACAGTAAGAATTAGAAACATGACAAAATGCCCAAAACTTGTGTATAGTTCTTGCTTTTTGAAACTTGCACTTAAAAATTAAGTTCCTTGTAACATCACTTGTCTGTGGGTACAGCTGCACCATGCAGTAGGATTGTTACAATATTTTGTTGCTTTGTATAATTTAATTTTTTGTACAGCAGATTTAAAAACCTAGCTTTTGTGAGTTTATTTAGAATTCTGTTACTGTAACAAATGTACAAATTTTTTGAATAATATTGTTGATGTGGTTGTATCATAGCAGTTGTTAAGAAGGAATATACCATAGGCAATGAACTTAAAGGGAAAAGAAAATATGGTCTTGTGTATACAGTACGTGTATATTATTCTGCTTTGTCTGTCGGCTACCATGGTGACGGATTAAATTTAAAGTGCGTTGAATGACAGACGAATGCTTCAGTTTCTGGTACTCCTGCAAAATGTCACTTTTACTTACAGTCATAGATTTGATTTTTGTATATTGCTACAATGTCAACAACTTGTATTTATAAGCATATCTAACATGGTAAAAATGTCCCAAGACATTTTATTTCCATTCCTTTAAGCTGCTTCCCAAATATTCTCCAAGTGTTAAACAAACACAGAAATTGCTGGAAAAGCTCAGCAGGTCTGGCAACATTTGTGAAGAGAAGTCATAGTTAACGCTTCGGGTCTGGTGACCCTTCCTCAGAACTGATGGTAGCTAGGATGTAGAAGTTTTTATGTAGAAGATCGTGTGAGTGGAGGGGGTAAGGAGTAAACGATAGGTGGAGATAGAGCCCAAGGAGAGAGAAGAACAGTTGGACAGATAAAGGAGCAGATAATGATTTGGCTCAGAAGGTGAATAGCTGTTAATCGAGACTGTTAGTGGCGAACAATGGGTTGTATGTAATAGCAGACTGTGTGATCACAAGGCCTGGTATGTGGGGGTGGTGGCTAGCACATAGTAAAGTTTAAGCCCTAAAGTTATTGAAGTCTATATTGAATATAGAAGGCTGCAGGGTCCCCGAGTGGAAAATGAGGTGGTGTTCATCCAGCTTCTACTGAGCTTCACTGGAACACTGCAGCAAGCCTGAGACAGAGATATAGGCTAGGGAACAGGGTGGTGTGTTGAAGTGGCAGGCAACTGGGAGCTCAGGGTCATTTTTGCAGGCAGAATCTAGGTGTTCTGCGAAGCAGTTACCCACAGTTTATGCTTCATTTCCCCAACATGGAAGAGACCACGTTGTGAGCAGCAACAGTAGACTGATTGTGTGAAGTGCAAGTAAAGTGCTGCTTCACCTGGAAGTTATTTTTGGGCCCTTGGATACTGAGGAGGGAGGAGGTGAATGGGCAAGTGTTATACTTTTGACAATTGCAGGGGAAGGTGCCATGGGGCTATGGGAGGGTGTTGGGTGTGAAGGAAGAGTGAACCAGGGTACCTGGAGGGAATGATCCTGCAGAAGCTGGGGGAAAGGAAAGGAGGGGAAGGGAAATGTGTGTCTGGTGGTGGCATCTTGCTGGAGGTGACCAAAAATGGCGTCTGATGATCTTCTGGCTGTGGATGCTGGTGGGATGGTAGGTGAAGATCAGGGGAACCCTATCGCTGTTATGGGAGGGAAGAGAGGGGGTGAGGGCTGAACTGCAGGAAATGGTTCAGACCTGGTGGAGGGCCCTGTCAACAATGGTGCTGGGGAATCCTCGGTTGAGGAAGAAGGTGGACATTTCAGGGAATGCCTTGTCAAAGTTGGCCTCATCTGAACAAATGTGACGGAGGCAGACAAACTGAGAGAATGGAATAGAGTCTTTAAAGGAAGCAGAGAGCGAGGATGTGTAGTTCAGGTAACTGTGGGAGTCAGTGGTTTTATCGTGGATATTAGTTGCCAGTCTATACCCAGAAATGGAAACCGATGTCGCAGAAGGGAAGGTAGGAGTCAGTGATGGACCAGGTGACAGTGAGGGCAGGGTGGAAATTGGAAGTGAAATCAATAAACCTTTCCAATTCCAGACGAGAGAGGGAAGCAGCACTGATGATATCATCAATATACCAGAGAAAGAGTTATGGGTGGGGGCCAGAATAGGAGTAGAACAAAGAATGTTCTACATACCCCATAAAGAAACAGCCATAGCTGGGGCCCACGTGAGTACCCATGGCAACCCCTCTGACCTGAAGAAAATGAGAGGAGTTGTTTAGGGTGCGGACGAGCTCAGCCAGGCAGAGGAGGCTGATGGTGGTTGGGGACGGTTCAGACCTTTGTTCCAGGAAGAAGCAGAGACCCCCGAGACCATCCTGGTGGGGAATGGGTGTGTAGAGGGATTGCACGTCCATGGTGAAGAGGAGTTTGCAAACTAGAAATTCTGAAACTTGCATAAAGCATCAGAGGAATTACGGATGTACTTGGGCAGGGACTGGACTGGGGAGAAAAGACCGAGTCCAGGGAGGAAGAGTTCTGTGGGGTGGGAGCAGGCAGAAATAATGGGTCCACATGGGCAGTCCTGTTTGTAGATCTTTGGAAGGGGGTAGAAGCAAGCTGGGTGGTGTTGAGATACTATCAGCTTGGAGGCAGTGGGGGTGGGAGGTAATCACCAGAGGAAATGAGGTTAGTGACTGTAGTTGATACAATGGCCTGATGTTCCATGGTGGGGTCATGGTCCAGGGGGAGATAGGAGGAGGTATCTGAGAGCTGGCGCTTAGCCTCTGCAATGTAGAGGTTCAGTACGCCATACTACAACTGTACCACTCTAATCGGCAGTCTTAATAACAAAATCAGGGTTGGATTTGAGTGCACAGAGCGCAGTCAGTTCAGGGGGAGTTGGGGGGGTGCAGAGGGGGACAGAGAAATTGAGGCAACCAATGTCACGTGGATAGTTCTTAATGAATAGGCTGAGTGCAGGTGGAAGGCCAGAGGGAGAGGCCCAGGTGGAGGGAGAGTGTTGGAACTGGGCGAAGGGTTCTGTGGGACAGGGAGAGGACTCTTGTCTGAAGAAATGGGCACAGAGGCAAAGACAACAGAAGGAGAGCTCAATGTCATGTCATGCCTGAAATTCATTAAGGTGGGGTCGCAGAGGGATAAAACTGAGACCTTTGCTGAGTACAGAATGCTCAGCATCGGAGAGCGGAAGGTTACGAGGGACGGTGAATACCTGACAGGAGGTGAGGCTGGGTGAAGGGGTGGAGTCAGAGATGGTGAGGGAGTAAGGTTCCAGAGAGCCCACCTCCTGTCATGTATTCATCATTCCTCCTAACCTTGCACAACTGCTTATTCCAGAGGTGGAGTGAGAGTGACAGTCCTTGACAAGGCTGCATTTGACCCAGTGTGACGTCAAGGCTGGGATCAGTGGGAAAATGTTCCACTAATTGGAGTCATACCTGAAACATAGGAAGATGGTTGTGGTTGTTGGAGGTCAGACATCCCACTTCCAGGACATCTCTGCAGGAGTTCCTCAAGATAGTGTTCCAGGCCCAACCATTGTCAGCTGCTTCATCAATGACCTTCCCTCCATCATAAGGTCAGAAGTGGGGATGTTAACCGATGACTACACAATGTTCAATACCATTCACAACCAGTCATGGATTGCTTCAGTACATGTTCAAATACAACAAGATCTGGACAATATCCAGACTTAAACTGAAAAGCGGTGAGTCACACAAATGCTAGATAATGATAATCTCCAATAAGGGACAATCTAACCACTGCCCCTTGACATTCAATGGCATTACCATCACTGAATCCCCTACTCAGACTCAGTCCATGCTGACTATAATCCCACCTGCCTGCCTTTGGCCCATATCTGTCCAGAACATTTCTTATTCATGTATTTGTCTAAATGTCTTTTAAACATGTAACTGTACCTGCATCCACCACTTCCTCTGGAAGTTCATTCCACTCTGTGTAAAATAATTGCCCCTCATGTCTTTTATAAATCTTTCTCCCCTCACCTTAAAAAAATACCCCCTTAGTCTTGAAGTCTGCCACCCTAGGAAAAAGACACCTGTCATTTACCTTATCTAAGGCCCTCATGATTTTATAAACCTCTATGAGGTCACCTCTTAAACTCATACACTCCAGTGAAAAAGGTCCGAGCCTCCCTTTATAACTCAAACCGTCCATTGATGGCAACATCCTGGCACATTTCTTCAGAACTTAATAATATCCATCTTGTAACAGGAAGACCAGAATGATTAGAGGTTGTACTGATGATGTTGCCTAGAATGGCAATAAAACGTCTGCATACCAGGGAACAACTGGCTCAGCCAGCTAATGAACAACTGAAGACCAGGACTGGGCACAGTATTCCAGAGGAGTGAAATTGGAGGTGAGAGAGATGAAATAAAGGAACATGTCGGTAAACCCTGGTGTGGAAGGTAGAATGGCCTACTCACAGGATCAGCAACATGGCCATCACCCACACAGAAACCGTAAAGACCATCTGAGTTAGGAACAGAGATAGGCCCCAAGAAGACTTTCCACATCAAGCAGATGTTCACCTGCACATCTGCCAATGTGGT